TCCTCTCCTTGGGCTGATCCCCTCCCCTCCCTGCAGGGCTTCACCCCCATGACGGTTCCAGACCTTCTGAGAGGAGCTGTGTTTGTGAGTGAGACCGGGGTGACGGGCCCTCTGTCTCTCAGGAGACTGCCCTGGGCTGGGTCGTGGAAGTCAGTCACAGCATGGGAGAGAAAAGCAATTCCAGATGCTTTCTAAAGGAACAGCTGGGGTGGTGACCTCAGCATTAGGGAGGCCAAGGTTACCCGTTACCCAACTCCCTGCACCCTTCCCCCAGGAAGGCTGTGGAATGACACCAAATGCCAACCCATCTCAGATTTACAATATTGACCCCTCCCGCTTCGAAGACCTCAACCTGGCTGGGACTGCAGAGGTGGGGCTGGCAGGTAAGCAGCTGCCTGGGTGATGGGGGGATGACAGCTCCCCACAGGGGACAGATAACTACCCTAGGGCTAACACATACAATTGTGTAGACTGTTAACTGCCGAAAATCACAGGGACTCTAGGATCATGTCCTCTGACATAGGCTTCTGCTGTAATCTCATGTGACTTCCTGCAGGCCATGGCACCCCTGGCTAACCCCATCCTGTGACTTCCTGCGGACAGTGGCAACCCTGGCTAACCTGCCTCTCTCTCCTCCCAGGGTATTTCATGGACCACTCTGTAGCTCTCAGGGACCTTCCAGTCAGGTGATGCCCATTTCCTTTACTGCTAGACCCATTGGTAACATCTACCCTCCCTGACCCAACCTCCCATCTTCCTATCAGGATGGTCTGTGCCAGTACCTGCTACCGGGCAGAGACGGACACCGGGAAGGAGCCCTGGGGGCTGTACCGAGTCCATCACTTCACTAAGGTGAGTGGCGCAGGCCTGGATGGCGTGCACAGGTCCCCTCCACCACCCAGGACCTCTTTGACTCAGTGTCCCTGCCCTGCCCCAGGTGGAGATGTTTGGGGTGACAGGCCCAGGTCTGGAACAGAGCTCGGAGCTGCTGGATGAATTCCTGTCTCTGCAGGTGGAGATCTTGACGGAGCTGGGCTTGCATTTCCGGTGCGGAGATGGAGCTGGGTGGGACTGGTAGGGGTTGAGGGAGGGAGTGGGGTCGACTGGGCTGGCCTACCGCCTGCTCCTTTCCCCTAGGTGGGGCCTCTGGGCTGTATAGTTTCTGTCTATGCATCTTTTGTTTTATAAGAGCAGGGGAAGTAAAGCTGCCCCCCGCCCCTCAGAGCTTCCCATCTCTAGAGTTTGGTTCAAGAGACCTCATTGTCCTCCAGGGTGAAATGGGGGTGCAGAAGGGAGGGACCAGCTATCACAAGGCCCACTTGTTCTCTAGGACACACAGATTTACTGAGGGCCGAGGAAGGCTAACTTTTACCCAGGCAACTCACTACAACAAACACATAAATAAAAACAAACAAAAAAACAAATTAAAAAGCAACTGAGAGTATGCAACCAGGTGGCAGGTCGCACACCTGTAACGTCAACACTTTCGAGTCCGTGGCAGGATTTCCATGAGTTCAAAACCAACCTGAGCTACAGAGTTCCAACAGAGTGGAACCCTGTCTCAAAATAAAACAAGCAAAACAGAAAAGGCTTGATGTTGTGGTTCACACTTAGAACCCGAGCACTGGGAAGTCTGAGGCAGAAGGATTGCTGTGAGTTTGCGGCCAGCCAGGACTACATGAGTGAGACCTTATTTCAAAGGAAACAGAAAACAAGCTCAGAAAAGTGCCTACTGTGTGAGCAGGAGGACCTCAGCTCTGACCCTCACACCCACACAGGAGCTGGGGGTGATGGCAAGAACCTGTCCCCTAATGCTGGAGAGACAAATGGCGCCCCACAGCTCACTGCCCAGCCTGTCTAGTGGAATCACCGGGCACACACAAACACAGGGCCCAGAGATGCACACCTACAACTTGTGATCTATAACCCCGACACTTGTGATCTGGACCCTATTCAAAGCCATCCTCAGCTACACAGTGAAGTCTAGGCCAGCCTGGGCTATATGAGACCCTATCCCCCCCCCCATACTCCCCCACCCAGAAAGAAAAGGGGAAAAAAGTAAAGACAGAAAAGGCCAGTTAGAACTCCAAAACTGGAGGTGCTGCTATAGACCATAAGAATGGTAGGGTGAGTGCCCACAGACAGCCGCATGGTCTTTCCTCCTCACCTCGGCCTTCTGTCTCCTGTGGATACCGCCTCCCCAGCTGCTGGTTCTTTTCTTCCACTGTGATCTTACCCCTTTCCCTCCTTTTTGGTTGCCACTGCAGCCTCCTCCTCCTCCTCCTCCTCCTCCTCCTCCTCCTCCTCCTCCTCCTCCTCCTTTTCCTCCTCCTCTGCTTCTTCCTCCTTCATTCACCTCCTTTATAGCCTTCTCCTTTATCCAACGTCTTTTACTCTTGGCCTCAGGGTGCTGGACATGCCCACCCAGGAACTGGGCCTTCCTGCCTATCGCAAGTTCGACATTGAGGCCTGGATGCCTGGCCGGGGCCGCTATGGAGAGGTGAGAGGCCTGGCCTAGTGGGCACGGTTGGTACAACACTGGAGGATGGGCCCGTTCCCCCAAGACAGCCTCTCTGTCACTTCCGTTCCAGGTCACCAGCGCCTCCAACTGCACAGACTTCCAGAGCCGCCGTCTGTATATCATGTTTGAGACCGAGACGGGGGAGCTGCAGTTCGCACACACGGTAAGGCTCACACTGTGTCTCCACCTTCCCATCCCAGGGCCAGGACGAAGTCAGAGCCTGACCCTGAGCGTGCACTTCTTCCAGGTAAATGCCACGGCTTGTGCTGTCCCCCGTGTCCTCATCGCCCTCCTGGAGAGCAATCAGCAAAAGGTGAGCGGTCCCCCGAGTCTGGAATCTCAGGTTTGAACAGGACGACTGCAGATTCAAGGCCTATCTGGGCAACTTAATAAAAACCTGTCTCAAGTTAAAAAGTAAAGGGGGGGGAATAAAAAAAAATTAAAAGAAGGTCAGGGCATGGCTCAGTGGGGCTGGGGGCGTGGCTCAGTGGTAGAGCCCCTGGCTAGAATCCCCCAGTGAGGGGCTGGGGGCGTGGCTCAGTGGTAGAGCCCCTGCCTAGAATCCCCCAGTGAGGGGCTGGGGGCGTGGCTCAGTGGTAGAGCCCTGCCTAGAATCCCCCAGTGAGGGGCTGGGGGCGTGGCTCAGTGGTAGAGCCCCGCCTAGAATCCCCCAGTGAGGGGCTGGGGGCGTGGCTCAGTGGTAGAGCCCCGCCTAGAATCCCCCAGTGAGGGGCTGGGGGCATGGCTCAGTGGTAGAGCCCCTGCCTAGAATCCCCCAGTGAGGGGCTGGGGGCGTGGCTCAGTGGTAGAGCCCCTGCCTAGGATCCCCCAGTGAGGGGCTGGGGGCGTGACTCAGCGGTAGAGCCCTGCCTAGAATCCCCCAGTGAGGGGCTGGGGGCGTGGCTCAGTGGTTAAGAGTTTGACTGGCATAGAGAACACTCTGGGCTCAATTGGCAGTACCAAAAAAAGGGAAACAGTATGAGGGTTGAGACTTTCACCAGCAGCTGAGGGGAGACCTTGAGGAAGGGTAGCATCCTAATAACTGCTCTGTCGCCAGGATGGTTCAGTCCTCGTGCCCGCCGCTCTCCAGCCCTACCTAGGCACTGACCGGATCACAGCCCCCACCCACATGCCTCTCCAATACATCGGTCCCAATCAACCTCAGAAGCCCAGGCTCCCCGGCCAGTCTGCAGCCAGATGACAGCTGTCTGCTCCAGAGGCTGGCATTCTAGAGACCCCTGATACTTCGAGCCTTTCCCCTGCAGCTGGTCCTGATATCTATGTACTTGTCTTTCCTTCCTGGATCCTGAGTCTACCTCTGTCCCTTCCCTGGCGGTGAATTATTGTCAGTGACCCCTGCTATCACTGGGGTTGTCAAGCCAGAGGCATGTCTCAGCCTGTGACAGGAAGAAGGCCATCCCAGCTTCCTCTTCCCACCTCAGTGCTGAGCAGAATACCCACAATAAATGGTCAGGTCATGAGAACAGAATCTTCTGGATCTGTAAGCACAGGAAGTGCTGGGGACTGCTTTCATTGCCAAAGCATCAAAGAGTCTGTGGCTGCCTACAGGGCTCATGCTGGGTGGCTTCAGGCTCCCCTGTGGAGCTGAAAGGATTTCAAGGCCTCTCCCTTCCTCTGGGATAAGGCCATCACCCTCTGATGGCTCCCTCAAACTGAGCCAACTTTATTCTTATCCTTAGCCCATGGTCCCCGACTCTGGTGCTGTCCAAAGTGTCCCATTCATGGCAGCTGACCCCAGATGCCATTGCCTACTTCCCAGACACTCCAGGCTCTTTGCCTGCACTAGCTCCTCCCCTGGTGGGTTGTGCTCAGCACCTTGAGCAGCTCCAGCCACCCTTCACACGCTCCTTGGTGGCTCTCCACCTCTAGTGGGTTAGCAAACCAGAGGCATCACCTTCAGAATGTTCTAGAGTTTGCAAGTTGCCCTCTCCTTCCTCAGCCCTGTTCTTTATCTGGTCACTCCCCCCCCCCCAACCTGAATAGTCACAAGAGACTCTCCAGAATTCCAAATGTCACACAATCACAGAAACTAGAGCGGGCAAAATCACGCCCCTGCTAGAGCACGAGGCAAATCATAGCTGCTACAGACAATCCGAAGCATCCTCATATCCCACACCTGGTATTGAAGCAAACATGCTACTGTTTCTCTCTCTTTTTTAAAGATTTGTTTATTTTATGTATGTCAGTACACTGTCACTCTCTTCAGACACACCAGAAGAGGGCATCAGATCCCATTATAGATAGTTGTGAGCCACCATGTGGTTGCTGGGAATTGAACTCGGGGATCTCTTGAAGAGCAGTCAGTGCTCTTAACCGCTGAGCCATGTCTCCAGCCCCTATCTCTCTGGTTTGTTTGTTTGTTTGTTTTAAAAAAACCAAAATTCTCGCCAGGCGGTGGTGGCGCATGCCTTTAATCCCAGCACTTGGGAGGCAGAGGCAGGTAGATTTCTGAGTTCAAGGCCAGCCTGGTCTACAGAGTGAGTTCCAGGACAGCCAGGGATACACAGAGAAACCCTGTCTCAAAAACAAACAAGCAAAGGCAGGGAAAATGTTACTGGGGACTTGGTTGGTGGCTTACTGAGAAAAGGAAGGGCTGTGCTAGGGTGACCTTAGTTCAGATCCTTGGAGTCCACATAAAAGCTGTGTGTCTTGTAACCCAAGACTAAGTGGACAGTTGGTTGGATCCCAGGAGCTTCCTAGTTAACTGTTCTATCCCAAAAGTCTAACTCCAAGTTCAATGAGAGACCCCGTTTCAAAACAAAGTGGAGAGCAGCACAGGAAGACGCTTGCCATTGACTTCCGGTCTCCACACGTGCATACACCACACCACACATGTGGTACTGGGGTAGCATGCGGCCCTGTGAAGTTCCCAGGGCAGGGCACCGTCCAAGCGCCCCTCATATTTCGTCCTCACCACAAAGCTCTGGAGTGAGTTGTCACCAAAATCTAAGAAAGTGTCTTAAGCAATTGTCCCAGCACTGAGCAGCTGGTGGATGATGGAGAAGGGACTCTCACCTCTGGGGAAGTAGGTTTAGAAGGATCCACTTTCCAGATGAGCAAAGAGCCGAGAAAAGAAGAGTTGCCCAGTTCCCACGTGAGTCTCTGGGGAGACCCTCCCCCATCCGAGCTTCTGAGCCAGAAGCCCAGAGGGGTGCATGCTTGAATGTGGGTTCCTATGAATAATTGAGGTTCCTAGAATGCCCCACAGCTGTCCCCTCTCCCTGAGCCTGGGAGGGGGTGGTGGTGATGTCATTTCCTCCCCTGCGGGGCCACTATACCTGGGTTATAAGGCGCTGGCACTGGCTGTCTGCCCAGCAGAGAGGTCCCGGGTCTGGACTCCCCACCATGTCGCTCCGTGTACCCACCTCAGCGGCACTGCTGCCGCTGCTGGCACTGCTGCTGGGGGCTGGTGAGTCCACGGCCCACAGAGGGATTGGGTGACAGGGGAGTACACCTTAGATCGGGCTATAGGTGGGCAGCTGAGCTTGCACAAGGGAACAGCACACTTGGCGGGCTGCGGACTGGGGTGCCGGTGGTGGGAGATGAAGGGGAGTTGGGTTCAGTACCATGAACAGCAACCGTTTTCTTGCTCCACAGCCTCCTCAGCTCCCCTGATGCCCAGACCCTCCAAGGAGGAGGTGAGCGGAGCCCTTCCTTGCCCTCCACATCCCGGTTGGGTCCCTTCTCACTTCTCCCAGTACCCCCACCTCTTTTAACCCTGTAGCCACTCTGTTCTCCCAAATCCCTGGCCCTTGACCTCTGTCTGACAGTTCATCCTTGCTCCCAGCTAACCCGGTGTCTAGCAGAGGTGGTCATGGAGGTGCTGACACTGGGCCAGGCCCAGAGAGGCCCCTGCACAGCTCTGCTCCACAAAGGTAGGGACGCTGCAGCTCCCTTCAGAATCCCAAGATCCTTTTCCTACCTCCCTACTAGCTCACAGTGATTGGGGGAAGAGTTCTCTGGTCTGGGTGAGTGTGCTGCTACTACTCACAGCCCCAACTGAAGGAATGTGCCTCCCTTAAAGCTCCCTGCAGGATGGGGACTAGGCAGGGAACATCTGCAGCCCGGGACCCCCCCTTCAGTGCTAAGCAATTCCCTTCATGATGTCAGGAAGGGCTCAACTCTTCGGGGACTGTTTCTCAGTTGACTGCAGAAAGATCATCCTTCCTATCTTTTCCCTGCCAGAGATATTCGAGACAGAGCCCCATGGCTGTGTGTGCCCTGAGGAGAAGAGGTTGCTGGGTAGAGACTTCGACAAGCAGGAGTCTGGAAAGATGACGTCCAGCCAGGAGATAAGGGAGGAGGAAGAGGAGGAAGAAGCAGAGAGGACCCACAAGTCTGAGGTGCGGGAACAGGCGGTCCACACTCAGCTCCAGAGCCAGCTTCACCAGGAGGAGGAGAAAGAGGAGGAAAAGGAGGAGGAGGAGAAGAGTGAGCCAGGGAAGACCGCTGAGCATATGTGGAAGCCATATCTAGAGGGTGCTGGAGACCTCCAGAAGCGGGTGGCTGAGAAAGCCAGCGATGCAGAGGCGGCCCAGTTTCAGGCAGAGGAGAAGGGCATGCAGCTACTGGACGGAGGCCGGAATCTGTGGCAGGGGACCAAGAGGGTCGGAGGAGAGAGGCATGAAGAGTCCTCGAACCACCATCACCACCTGGAGCAGCCAGGCACCAAGGCCAAGCAGGAGGAAGAGGTTTTAGAGCAGGAGGTGAGTGGAGGGGTGAGACTCCAAAGGCGTCTCCTAGGGCTGGGCCACACAATGTGACATCTACCATGACGTGGGTCAGAGTGACCAAGTGTGCACCAGGACTAGGTAGCAATGCCCAAGCAGGGACAGTGACCAGGAAGACACCTCTAATTACCCAGAAGCACCAGAGTTAGCCATCATTATCTGTCAAGTAAGTCAGTTCCCACTGAAGCTAGCAGCTGCTCTCTGGTTCACGACGCTAGTGACAGAGGCCACTGACTAGGCCACGCCAAGCTGAATGTCCCAGCAAGATGGCTCAGTGGGTACAGACACTTGCTGCCAAAGTCTTGCAAGCTGAGTTCAATTCCTAGATCCCACATGGTGGATGGAGAGGACCGACTTCCACAGGTTGTCCTCTCAGCTCTCCACACATGCTGTGGTGCACATGTGTGCACACACACACAGTAAATAAATGCATACACTTGTTTTGTTTTTGTAATTATGGGCTGGGGAGATGGTTTGACAGTTTAACAGTCCCTTCCAGAGGACTCAGCTTCGATACCCAGGATACATGGTGACTCTGTAACTCTCATTTCCAGGGGATCATATGCCCTCTTCTGGCCTCCCTGGGAACTCCCTGGGAACTAGGCAGACATGTGATATACAGGCAAACACCAAGTTTTGTTTTGTTTTGTTTTGAGACAGGGTTTCTCTGTGTAGCCCTGGCTGTCCTGGAACTCACTCTGTAGACCAGGCTAGCCTCGAACTCTCGAACTCAGAAATCCGCCTGCCTCTGCCTCCCAAGTGCTGGGATTAAAGGTGTGGCCACCACCGCCCAGCAAACACCAAGTTTTAAAAAATTAATTAAATATCACCTCGGATGGGAGCAGCAATCAAAATGGCCATCACGTTACCTAGGGCTAGAGCTGTAGGTTCACGGTGGCACGTGTCACTAGCATGCACAGGCTCTGGAGTCACTTCCCAGAATTGCTACATAGACCAGCTGTGACAACACACATCTGTGGTCCCAGCACTCATAAAGAATGCAGAGATCAACGGTGGCGGGCTGTGTGGCCCGCCATGCCGCTCTGGTGGGCAAGCAGAGCTTTTGGGTTTGTAGGTGGTGACCATACTTCTGATCTCCCCAGGAACACGATGTGGAGCGGCTGGAGCGCATGCAGGAGCAGTTAAAGAAGGCGACCGCCATGCTGGGGGAGGCTCTCGGGAGGGAAGGCTGACCCCTCTCTACTCCTTCCCCACGCTCCCGAGCTCAGGACCGTTGACCTCAGAGCCCCCCTTCGCCGGGCATCCTGCTCCACTTCCAACTGGCAGGGACTGGAACGCAAGGATGTGCCTGAGAACCAAGCCTGAGTGGGCGGGGCTGGGTTCAGGTTGGCCCCGCCCCCAACTCCTTCATCCCTCTGAGTGAATAAAGCACAAAGCAAAGCACCCTGGCTCACACCTGGCTTTGGAGGGACCTGCCACAAGCAGGGAGGCAGTGTCAGTCTGGGCTCTGGCTGTCGGGTCTGAGATTTTATTAAACTGGAAACTATATTAATATTAGAACTTAAGTCAGGCAGGGTTGGGGTCATCAGGAAGAGGTTTGGATGCCTGGGAAGGAGGAGGTAGCTGGTTTTGGCTCCTGCCACTGTGAACCACGATGTCATCATATTCATCCTGGGAACAGAGAGGGATAGCACAGGGGTCAGGCAGCTGCCACCCTGCCCACTGCCCAGGTCACAGCACCCAAAGAATGGGGTGTCACCGTGAGGCCTGTGTTCTCATGCTCAGCACGCCACACTGGAGGCCACGGCTCTGTGCCACTTTCTCCCACTACGTGGCTCTTCTCCCCAGGCTCCTGCCTCACCCACCTTCAGCCCTTTCGTGCTACACTGACCCCTACCTGGGGTGCGCTGTCGCCTGGGATCTTCAGTAATGCTCCCCTCACCACTGGCTGGGGTCTTTCCCTACCATCAGTCTTCTGGACACTCTGACAAGGTCACCACCAACCTATCCCGCAAGCTCTCTATCCCCTGCTCCCATGGTCACTCCGCATACAGGGTCTCACCACGCAGCCCCTGCTGGCCTCGCACTCACACCCACCTGCCTCTGCCTCCTGAATACTGGGATCCTAGAGGTGTGTGTCACATGACAGACAGCCCTAACTGTCCGACTGCCAGTGCCACCCTTGCACAAGTCTATGACCGTTTCCCACATCTCATGCGCCCTCCTCTGGAGTCCCTGACAGCATCCGGCCAGGTTTTCCTGTTGCTGGTTTGCCCTGACCCCCAAGCTGAAATACCCATTCCTGACTCACGCCCTCATCTCTGTTGTCACTGTCGCTGTCGCTGCCGCTGCTGCCGCTGCTGCTGCAAGGGCTAAGCTTATCGTCCTGGTCATCAGGTTCAGGAGCCCCATGGGCACGGAGGAGGCGGGCAAGGACGGGGTTGGGTCGGAGCAGGGCACTGCCAAGTGGGGTGCGGCCCCCGTACATGCGGGCAGTGGGGTCAGCACCAGCTTTCAGGAGAAGCTCCAGCACGCTGGCTGTCTGGGCTTCTACTGCCAGGTGCAGAGGGGTCCGGCCACACGTGGGCTCCTGTGGGAGTGACAGAAGCTCAGTGAGACTGACAAGGGGACAGTGCCTTCCCTACATTGGTCCACCACAGTGTCTTACCGGTTTATTGAGGTCTGCCCCAGCATCCCTGAGCAGCCGGACCATCTCTGCATCTTTGTGGATGACAGCAACATGGAGTGGGGTGTGGCCTGGGGACAGAGCAATTGGTGTCATGATGAGGTAAGGAGCCTCGGCTCTGTCTTCAGCCTAGGGAAGAGCCCAAGGGCTGGCTTCTCAAGTTCTTCCTAGGTATGCATATGGGCTCCTGAACTCCAGAGACCTAAGTCTTGGGCCTTAGCAGCCGGTGTGTGCAAGCCTGAGTCTGCCACATCTGGGATCTATGGGGATGAGGCCGGGGACTTTGAATGAAAGCACATAATCTGTGGACCAAGACACAAAGTCTTTGATCTTCCTTCACAAGGAACAGAGACTTGACTAGCATGTGCAGTCCTTGAATTCCAGCCCCAGCACCATAAATAAAACAAAAGATACAATGACAATAACAATAAAAGTCCCCAAAGGGACCTGGGGCTCAGGACTCTGGCTACCAGATGACCTCAGTCTATTCCTGAGGCCTGGCTGAGAGGGTAACCCCCGTGTCCTCTGTCTGTGGCTGGGAACATGGGGTGGATTCTCTCATCGTGAGTAGGCTGGGCTGGTGGCTTATGCTTGAGAACAATTCTGGAGGGAAGGCACCTTGCAGGTGGGTAGCCCCAGTTTAACTATGTCATCTCTGGATCTGTGGGTGACAGGTCTGGGTTATAAGTGGTTTGATGACTAGATCTGTGGGAGAGGGACCCTATATGTCCAATTCTTAGTACTCCTGAGACTGTGTGGAAGGCCTTACTTAGTCCAGATGCTCGGATTTTCGGAGCCTAGGGATGACTTCCCAAGGAGGTAGTTTTGCTTTGGGGGCTTTGCGACAGTGGTTCACTAAGTAGCACAGGCTGAATTCGACCTCGTGACTTTTCTACCACCCAAGTGCTAGGACGAAGTGTGTGCTTGAGACAGGGTCTCCTGTAACCTAGACTGTCCTCTAACTAGCTAGATAGCACCAAGGATGACCTTGAACTCCTGATCCTCTAGCTTCCAAGAACTGGTATTATAGGCACACAGCAGCACACTGTTTATGCTGGGGATCGAACCTAGGGCTCTAAGTATGCCTGATGAGCACTCCCTCGACTGAGGTATGTCCCAAGCTATCAGCTGCGGCTCAGGTTGGGGGAGAGGAGCTGGGAGCCTGGTGCCCTGGGTCTGGCCAGGAGCTCACGTCCTCCCCAGGGCCCGGGGCGCTCACCATCATAGTTTTCAGCTTCTAGCTGCAGTCTCCAGTCTTCGTCATGTGGCCCCTCTTCCTCCTCTTCATTCTCTGGGTTGGGTTGGGGGTCCATGGCAACAGGGGCGTGGCTGGTGTCTGGGGTATGGTCCTGGCTCTGAGTGAGGTAGGTATCTGAGGCATCTCTTGGGTGGCTGGGACGGGGCTGGAGCAGTACGCATGCACACTTGTGTGCCCTCACACGGCAGGCCAAGTGCAATGCTGTGTGGCCCCCTCTCTCAGCTACCAGCACTCCTGCGCCAGCTGCATACAACTTCTCTACTGCAGATGCTTCCCCAAGGATGGCTGCTAGGTGCAGGGCTGTCTACAGGGATGGAGAGAAGGGGTTAGGGCTACACTGTCAATCCTGGACCTGCCTCCCTACAGCAACCATCCCCAGTGGCTCACTTGGCCTAGGTCATTCTGCAGGTCCAGGTACTCAGTGCCTGCAGAGAAGCCCAGGAGGAAATCCAGGAAGGGCTCATGCTGATGTATGACGGCCAAGTGCAGGGCTCTGGGGACAAAAGGCAGAGGTCAGTAACAGAGTGTCTACTGTTTGCTACAAACCGTGGCCACAGTTGGAAACATTTCAGTGATTGGGAGAATCAGGGGCAGAAGTTAATCCAGCCACTCTGTCTGGCTGGTTGGCGTTCTGAGATGAGACAGAGTTTTCATAAGTTGCCCACACTGACCTTGGGTTCAACTCCCTCCCACCTCAGCCTCCTGAGTTATCTGGCCCACAAGCCTGTGCAAGTAGGACCAGCTACCAACGTTGTTTCATCTGTGTTTACTAAGTAATATAATCAGGCGTAATGGCTCCAATTCCAGCATCTGGAAAAGCTGAGGCAGGAGGATTTTTAGTTTGAGGCTAGACTGGGTAACACAGTGAGTTCTAGACCAGCAGGGTTAAATACTAAATAATGAGATTCTATCACACACACACACACACACACACACACACACAAAATGCTAGGCATGGTGGCATGTGTGAGAGGCAAAAGCTGTGATTTCTGAGAATTCCAGGCTAGCCTGGTCTGCATGGAGTTCCTGGTCAGCTAGAGCTATATTATGAGACCTTGTCTCAAATAATAATAAAGTGATGGACAGTTGAGGCAGACACCCAATATGAAGCTCTGGTCTCCACACTTAAACATACATGTACACAAAGACAAGCTGGGTGTGATGGCTCTGCTCTGCACCACACACACCCACACACACACACACACACACACTCCCACACACATATCCATACACCCCCACACCCCCACACATACACACTCTCACACACACACACACACATACCCTCACATATACCCACACACACACTCCCTCTCTCTCTCTCTCTCACACACACACACACACACACACTCCCTCTCTTTCTCTCTCTCTCACACACACACACTCTCACACACTCTCTCCCTCTCTCTCTCTCACACACACACACTCTCACACACACTCTCTCTCTCTCTCACACACACACACACACACTCTCTCTCTTTCTCTCTCTCACACACACACACACTCTCACACACTCACTCTCTCTCTCTCTCACACACATATACACACACTCCCTCCCTCTCTCTCAAGGATAGACACTGAGACACTGAGAAAGATGCTAAGTAAGAAGCAGGCCAGAGAATGAAGGTAACTAACCACGTGGAAGACACAGCATAATTTAAATGGGTTAAATACGTTATGAGTTAGCCAGGGAATGAGCGAAAGCTTGTAGCCAAGGTATTTACTAATTAATTAGTCCCAGAGTGTTTACTGTTGGGAACTAAGTGGCCAGAAGAAAAAACAGATTAATTTCTTTTACAGTAGTGTTCAAGGCTAGTCTGAGCTACACAGTGAGACACTGACTTAAAAAAGGGGGTGGGGTGGGCAGCTGGGAAAATATTTTGATAAGTAAAGCACAGTGACCTTAGTTCAGAACCTACATAAGAAAAAGCTGGGTGTGTCTGGAGAGATGGCTCAACAGTTAAGAGCACTCACTGCTCTTCCAAAGGTCCTGAGTTCAATTCCCAGCAACCACATGGTGACTCACAACCATCTGTAATGGGATCTGATGCCCTCTTCTGGGGTGTCTGAAAACAGCAACAGTGGATTCACATACATAAATTAAATAAATAAGTCTTTAAAAAAGAAGAAAAGAAAAAGCTGAGTGTGGTTGTAAGTATTTATAACCCCAACACCAGGGAGAAGGAGGCACCAAATCCCTGGGGTGGAACACAGAGGTGCACACCTTTGATCCCAGCACTCAGGAGGCAGAAGCAGATGGATCTGAGTTTGAGGCCAGCTTGGTCTACATAATGAGTTCCAGGCTAGACACCTGTCTCAAAGAGGAGGAGGAGGGTGGAGAGCAAGAGATAATCTCTGAGAGGCTCTCAGGCCAGCTAGGCTAGCCTATGTGGTCAGTGCTAGGCCAGTGAAAGACTCTGTTGGTCGGGCGGTGGTGGCGCACGCCTTTAATCCCAGCACTTGGGAGGCAGAGGCAGGTGGATTTCTGAGTTCGAGGCCAGCCTGATCTACAGAGTGAGTTCCAGGACAGCCAGGGCTACACAGAGAAACCCTGTCTCGAAAAACCAAAAAAGGAAAACATAACGAAAGACTCTGTCTCAAAACATCAGCCCAAGGTTGTCCTTTAGTCTACACACACACACACACACAGCCAACCTCAGCTACAAAGTAACCTCAAGGCTAGCTACATGAGACTGTCAGAAACACACAAACAATAACAAAAAACAAAAAAAAAAAAAAAGGAAAGAGGAAGATAAAGAAATTACAAAAACTAGACCCAAAGTAACCAGAGGAAAATAATAAAGGAACAAGAACCGATAAAGTAGAAAGTGAAAAATAAGAAAATTAAGGAAACTACTTCTGGCTCTTTAAGATGAGTGTTCGTTGGGTTCCCCTCGTAGGTCAGGCACTGAGTCACTGAGCACACGCAACAAGCACAAAGGACAAGAAAATCCCGGGTACAATCCCTTACGCACACCATCACCACAGCCATCCCTTTCCCCGGCGTATCTACTAATCAACATTTCCTGCCTTTTAATTTTTCTTTCAGTCTCCCTTTCCTCCTTTTCTTCTTCCCTCCTTTTTGATACCGGGTTCTCTCAGGCTGTCCTCAGACTAGTGATCCTCCTGACTCAGCCCCTTGAGTGTTGGGATGACAAGTGTGTACCGTCACACTCAGCTAAACTAAAACCAGGGATTGGAAGGTGGTCGTTTGGGAGAAACATCTGGCTAACAGATGAGGCCTATCCTCATAGAATCGAGTTTCTAAATTGTATGTAGCTCTGGCTGGCCAGGAACTCAATCGGATAGCCTCTAATTCACAGATCCACCTGCCTTTGCCTCCCAAGTGCTCAATTGCAGGGTCAAGGCTGGACGACTTAGGGCCAAGAACTAATTTTGGAAATCAAAATCTGGCTTATACAAGAATAGCCAAAGATCAAAGGCCACATCTGGAAGCAAGAGGTCAAAAGGTGTGGGAACTAGAGCGGTCGGAAAGGTTCAAATCCGATTTGGGGATCAGGAGCTCAAATTTAAGAGTTAAAAAATGGTGAGACACTTGCCTGTGAGTGAAAGGGGACTAGTCTCACAATTTAGTTTGGGGGTTATGGGTCAGGAAGTCCAGCATCGGAAATCAGAGTTAGGAACGAGACGATAAGAAGCCACAGGAATGATAGGCTAATGGGGACTCAGGTAAGATCCTAGGGCTCAGTTTGGTAATTTAAGGTTTACTCACGTGTCCCCATCCTCAGTGACGTAGCCAAAGACTAAGGGCGCCCAAGACAGCTCTGGGCCAAGCTCCGCGCTCAGACCTGGTCCTCCCGGAGCCGCTGCGTCGGGACCTAGAGAGCCCAGGCCGCTGTCACACCATTCATCGGCGTCCGCAGTTTTTCCCAAGCACGCGACCCCGGCCATGGCCCCTGCCACCTTGGGTGGCCCCCTGTGGTCGCCTACTCGTAGCTGGTCTCTGCCGTGAGCTCCAGCACTTCCGCCCTGTCGGGAATTCCCCAACACGCCCCCTCATATACCCAATCAAAATGTGTGAAATAGCTACACCCCGCCCCTGTACCGCACCAGAACCAATCAGAATAATGAGGTGGACATTCGCTCGCTGAGTTTCCCCACATTTTCCAGACGCCCTTTATCAATATGGCCGCCGGCGCCTGGCCTTTTGGGATTTGTAGTTTGACAGCGTGAGAGGAACACTGTACCAAAGCGGTTATGGGACCGCGTTGCCTACCGGGAGTTGTAGTTCTCTATCATATCTTGGCTCCCTTGTTTCCGCTGCCGTCACGGGACAGAGCAGTCGGTGACAGTCCCGACGGCCCCCACCCCGCTCCCATGGCCGAGCCGGACCGTGAGTTAGGGGCCCTGGTGGGAGGGTGGGAGGCTCGGGCCGCGCCGGGGCCTGGCTTTGAGCTGCAGGCCCTGGGGCCCGAGGGCAGGCTCGGTGGGGCGAGAGACAGGATCTGCCTGAGGGGAGTGGGATTCGGAGGGCTATTGCTAAGTGGTCTGGTCGGTGTTGCTAGGTTGGTGGGTTTCTGGATTGTGAAATTTAAGGGTCCGATTGCCAAGTTCTTAATGATCGCATTCCTCGCACTTTGGTTGCTGAGGACCCTCGTTGCTAAGGACCAGAGTTACCACGATCCCGGTTGCTAAGGTTGTCTGTTGTTAAGGGCAACTGTAGGATGTTCAGGGCCCCCCGCGGCCCCTTTCTATCTCATTCCTTCAGTTCTTGTGCCTCTCCTAAACCTCCGACCTTCACTGCACCTCCTTTCCCACACTCAACTCTCAGCAGAAGTATCCCTACTTGAAAAACTTAGCCCTCCCTCATTCTCCCGCCTTGCAGACGCTACCATATCCTGCCTAACTCTGAAACCTTCCTTCAGTCCGGGTTTGCCTGCTTTCTCCTCCTAAACATTCCCCTCCTCAGCCTTTTCACGTCACACGTTCTTCCACTCTAAAATATGCCTTTTCGCATCTCCGATAGTTTTACTACGGTCCCTGACTCCAGGAAAATTAGGTTGGTGGGTCCTCTTGTCCCCTCCGCCATTGTGAACCCTTCATCTGTTTAACTATTTCCCCCCACTGTAACCACGTCTGCTCCCCCTCCTCCCCAGCCTCTGACCCTCTGGAGACCCAGGCAGGGAAGGTGCAGGAGGCTCAGGTGAGATGGGGAAAGGGGTGGAGGGAAGGAGAGAGATGGATTTGGTTCCACGTGCGCACTGGGGGGAGGTGGCAGGGGAAGGCTTTTACCCAAGGGCCCTTGGCTTATGGCCCTGATCCCTAAGCCCATCTGGGGATTAGTACAGCCTCCTGGGAGAATGGTGGCTTCTGGGGACTGTCAAGAAAACTGTATAGCCTCAACCCCTGGTTCCCTTCCATATTGTCCTGGTTTCTTACTGTTGCCCGTCCCATCCTCAATCCCCTCTGAACCTCATTTTGCTAGACCTGGAAGAGACAGTTTTCCAGTTCAAACCCCAAACTCTGATCCTATGAGGTGGGGAAAGGACCCTATAGGGCTTGTTATGAAAGTATCAAAGCTGAGTGTGGTGCCAGCCACCTGTAATCCCAGCACATCTCGGGGGTGGGGGAAAAGTTGAGGCAGGAGGATGGAGAAAGGAGAGATAGCTTGCACCATATAGTGAGACCTGGTCTCAAAAAAAGGAGGGAGAGAGGGAGAGAGCATACCCTTGGAATGCAGGGCAAGCTGTGTGTGTCAGAGATCATAGAAGATTCTAGCCAAAATTTTCCTTGGTGGAACCCACAAACTGATCTAGGAACAAGACCAAGATATAGTCACAGTGTTGTAAGTGAAGTGACATGGGGTTTTCTTATCACTGAGATCGGAGATGGTGTTCCATGCGGGGTATGCAGACCTGAGATCGAGGAGGAGGAGTGACTGTTTCAGTACTTGCATTGCTGGGGTGGTCATCTATTAATACTCTGCCTGCACGTTAATGTACACGGCCTCCTTTAATCTTTCCAGCGTGCCCGTGACGGGAAGGCCTTTCACGGCCACGTTACAGATGAGGAACTTAGTTGGTGAAGGTTGTTAACTCCTGTGTCCTTTGGGTAGAGAGAAAGGAGAGGGCTTGAGATTTACGAGAGAGAGGGCTCCACAGATGCTGTGGGTTCCATGAAGAGGTAGATGAACCATCTCAAAGATGTTTGGGACATCTGCCAATGCCTCCAGTTCTCCCAGAGGCCAGGCCATCCTAGCGCGCTAGAGGAATGCTTCTCTGCTTTCCTAATGCTGCAGCCCTTTAATGCGGCTCCTCACACGCTGTGGTGACCGCCAACCATAAAATTATTTTTTGTCGCTATTTCCTAACTGTGATTTTGCTACTTTTGTGGACTATAATGTAACTATCTGATATATAGGATATCTGATATGGGACACTGGAAAGGGTCGTTTGATCCCCAAAGGGATTGTGTCCCACAGGTTGTAGACAGCGCCTACCACCACTGAATGCCAGCACGCTCATCTTATGAGATCATGCTTCGAAGGGAGGCAGGTGCAGAAGCTGTGGTCAGCAATACCCCCCATAAGTACACAGCAGAGCTGTGACAGCCTGCTGTGGGTCTCTGGCATCTTACTTGTCTGGCTCCCAAAGGAAGGCCTAACGCCAGACCAAAAAAAGGTTTCGGAGTCAAAGGGGTTCTTAGTGGCCAAGAAGCTGTGCGGTGTCAATTGCAGTATTATCTTGATGGGGCAACACAAGCAGCAGCCTCAGTGGCCATCGGGAGAGGGAGTCAATGAACCACGGTTCATCATACAATGTGGCACTGTGGAACACAATAAAGAATGAGGTGGGGGCTGGAGAGCTGGCTCAGTGGTTAAGAATGTATACCGCTATTCCAGAAGACCTGAGTTCCACGTACCAGGCAGCTCCCAAGTGACTGTAACTCCAGTTCTAGGGGCCCTGACTCTATGGTCACGTGCACACACTTGTAGACATGTGCACACACATACACATATACACATAATTAAAATAAGGACATGCATCTGTAAAATACTGTGTAGTGTCATACTCTGGCAAGACCCATTTCTAAGACAATGAGCAAATGAGCAAAAACTCATGCAGAGAAAACACATTATCTCTATTTAACTGTTGATTGATTTTGCTTTGGTGTTTTGTTACCCAAAGGCTCAGGAGGCTGAAAAAGGAGGATTATGGGTTGGAAGCCAGGATGGGTGAAACAGTAAGACTTGTATAAGCTCTTTTTTAAAGTTTTTAATCTTTTTTTTTTTTTTTTTACATTTCATGAGCATTGGCATTTTGCCTGCATGTAATTCTTTGTGAAGGTGTCAGATCCCCTAGAACTGGAGTTACAGACAGCTGTGATCTGCTGCGTGGGTGCTGGGAATTGAAGCAGCCAGTGCTCTGAACCATGGAGCCATCTCTCCAGCCCTTCTTTTTACATTTTTAAACCTAGCTTGTTTGTGTGTGTATGGGGGGGAGGGGTAGGATGCACAAGCCACAGCACATGTGGCGATCTGAGGACAGCTGTTCTTACTTCACACCATCAAACTCAGGTTGTCAGCTTAGCCGCAAGCACCTTTCCCTGGCGCACCATCTTGCCAGCTTAGGTAATTTTTAATATCTCTGAAGAATCGTTTTAGAGTCAGGCATGGTGGTGACACAACTCTGTAATCCCAGCACCTAAAAAAAACAAAACAAAACAAACAAACAAAAAAAAAACCAGATGGATCAGGAATTCAAGGTCACCCTCAGATACATAGCAAATTGGAACCAGCCTGGGCTATGTAGGACCTTGTCTCAAAACAATAAAAAACAGAACAACAGATGAACAACAGAAGAAAGGAGATTTGGAAGCAGAGTAGGGAAGGGATGGTGTGGGGACCTTCGAGCCCTTCTGGCCTCCCTTTGAGCCCCAGGGAGTTGACTGTGTTGGTCAGACTATTTGTGTCATCTGCTGCAAGGCCAGCCCTGGGCTGGCCTCAGTCAGCATTTGTTCAGTGGCAGATGGTTCTGGAAGTCCTGTTATCTAGGCTGGGCACTAAGTGGTAAGCATAGATAAAGTCCCTGCCCTTGTGTGGCTGATATTGTGGTGCTCGGTAGATGTTTGTGATTTGGGGGAGAGGGAGGGATCGAAGAAGAGGTAGACTGCCCTAAACAGGCCATCGTCTGATCTAAGACAGAAACCGAGTCAAGGAAGCCATGGCAGGACCCCAGGAGAGAACAGGTTGAACCAGGTGGAGCTCTGGGGTTGGGGGAGGGAGTCAGTGAAGGATGTTGGGAGGCCGACATCCCAGTGGGTCCACTGGGAACTGGCATGAGGGTGGTGGGGTAGGAAAGCCGACTAAGGGACAATAGGGCCACTTAGTATGGGGATTGGGAGCAGGAGCTGGTTCCAGAGAGATGCCAAGGCCACTCTGGAACATGGTCGGAGCAGGGTGGGGTCGCCTTGAGAGGCTCATGTCTGGTGACAGAGAATCGGCATTACCAATGACTAGGCTGTGGCATAGTAGCTGTGGCAGGTGGCCCAGGGAAGTGGAGTAGGCCAACCAAGAGGCCCAGGGGTTCGCTGCTGAGCTTCACAGCGACCTCTGAGCTACATGTACAAGTTGAGGCCCACGGGTGTGGAGGTCTAGCTCTAGTGGTGGTGGTCACCTAGCCTGCACGAAGCCCTGGCTTCAGTCCCTAGCGTCCTGTCAGGCTGTGCTGGCCAGCTGGTTACAGTGCTGGATGTGCTCCCCAACACCGGAATCCCAGCTTTGGAGGGGTGGAGACAGGAAGATCAGAAGTTCAAGGTCACAAAGACAGCCTAGGCTACATAAAATCCTAACTAAAAAAGCAAGCTAGGCACGGTGGCACGTGCCTTTAATCCTAGCAGTCAGAGAGGCAAGTAGGAATATAGTGTACATAGTGAGTTCTAGGCCAGCTGGGGATATATAAAGTGAGGCTCTGTCAGAAGAAAAAAGATGGGGCAAGCATGCTAGTGCATGCCTCTAAACCCAGGCCACAGAGCCAGATGGATCTTCAGGAATTCCTGGTCAGCCTGGTCTGTATAGTAAGTTCTAGGCCAGCCAGAGAGACCCCATCTTGAAAGATAAGGCCTAGAGGAGAGCCAGGTCCCCTCTCTACAGGCAGCCTTTCCCAGAGCCCTCACACTGGCCCTGTACTTCTTCAGCCCACCTCTCAGTCA